TAGAAAAGAAAATGAATTTTCAAATAATCGTTTGCGAGCATTACGTTTGGAGTGACCCTCGCAGAAGACGCGTGCGAAAACAGTGAAGGCTGACGGAGCTACTCGCTCTGGAGCGCGGCCCCTCAGCAGCCACGCACTGCGAACTGCCATCGCCGCTCATTTGATTTCTACGAGCGAAACTGCAATGACCGGGACAGGACCTTCACGGAATTACACACGAGCCACGTAAATACTACCTCTATTCGAATTTGGCCTCTAGGAAAGCAATTAAATCCGCTTCTGAGGACCAATATAATGGCGGAAAATTTATTAATTCCATGCTCTCATGGACAAATTATTTTATATTAAGACTATTATTATTAGATTTATTATTATTATTCTTAATATTAATATTAATGTATAGTCCTCGGTTTCATATTCTGAAGCTATGGTCTGAGCTCACGTAGTGGAAAATCTATCAATTGATAACAGTGGTCAGATTTCAAATAATGGCTCTGATGTATCATACTAGGCATATCTACTCGGTAAAAGAAAGTACTCTCCTACAATACACTCTTATCGGTAGTTGATTTACAAGAGAATTAAAGTTACAGCATTTTGCCGTAACGAGGAGCGAACTGCAGGAAAAACATGAAAGACAATTAAAATCATCCCAACAAGCTACTTATACTTATCACGAAACGATACGAGTAATACACGTTCACCTCCTCAAAACAAACATTACGGAGGGAGGCCAGCGCTATTCCACGGGTTAAAGACGAGCATTTTGCGTTTTTCTTCTTTGTCTGCAATTTCAGACAGATGACACATCATGATTTAAGCCTTTAAATTCCGTGGTGGTAGCGGATATCTTGTGGTAATCCATGGTATTGTAAAGGAAATAATCTCCAAAAACTTTGTGGAGATTATTTCCTTTACAATACCATTTAAGCCTTTGTTTCGGAAAAGTATGTTTTACTGAAAAATCGAAGCATTTCCTTTATAACATAAAAACAATTATCGCTGGTAGACGCCATGTTAGAAACGTCCCAAAATCAAGAACACAGAGCAAATAGTGAAAATGCATCGTGGAAATCTCGAAATAGATTTTTCGCTACACTACAAAACTTTCTCCATTCTATGTGAATATTACTACGTGTATACGTAGTACTTTTACGATAAAGTAAAAATGTGTGTTTCATTACATAATTAACGTCAGTCATCAATCGACCGTCGTTAATCATATGAATCGTGACCTGAGGATCCACGTTGTGTCTGAAAGAAAATAATCCGCAGCTTGTCACCACTGTAGAGGCCTCGAAGCCCTGTTCCCCAAAAGCGATTTTCCTAGAATTCTTCCAAAATATTCTGGGTTTCTGCTGAAAATAGAGGCAATCAATGGAAGAGAAGGAGGATGCGAGAGAAAGTGGAATGAGAGAGGAATCGAATAAGTTGATCACTTTTGTAGTTGACTTTTTTAATTGCCCCAAAACGTATTTTGGATAATCATACAAAATACTGTTTTTGATGGCTCTCTTAGTGCTTTCGAAGGATCGCGCAAAAACGGTCATTTCCCCACCAGTGAGAAACCGTCACCACGAAGGAGCGACCCGAAGCGCTTTCTGACAGGGCTGGGAGAGGGTTGTTTGCCCGAGGGGAAATCGGGCACTAAGATTTTATCACAACTCTCTTAAAACCTTAGAATTAAAGATATGCAGTATTCCACCACCAGTGGCCCTCCCGTCACCTCCAATGGAGTATTTAGAGGTGGATACGAAATTAGGATCGAAATTGAAGACGTTAAAGAAGTCTAACCGCGCAGCCACTAGGGATGAAGCATCGACAACTTATCGAAGTTTCGAAACATCGTGTTGAAGTTTTAAAATCAATGTTCAAAATATATTGACCCCAAAACATCGAAATTTCTAAAATTATTTTAGTAACCTCCAACATTAATGTTCACATGTGGGGGAGGGTAATTTAGTGTCACGTTGGACGTGTTTATTACTGTATAGTTCACATTTAGCTGACAAACCAATGTCATATACATATCAGAACAGTTAACAAAGCAAATAAAGTTTAAAAAAATTACAAAAATAGCTCCCTTTTTTTAATGATTGAAATGATTTGAAAACAGCGGCCATGTTGCATCCCTAGCTGCCACTCGCCAAGGCGACTGCGATGCGCGAACAGCACACGAACTCTTTGGTTTCTCGAGCCCTCGTCTTAAACAGTTTTGTTTCCAAAAGCGAATACACAAAATACACATTATCCTAGGGAGTTCACAAACAAAAACATAATAAGTTTGGTTTTGAGAGGCATTGTTTTAATATATTTTATTTCAGAGATAACTTGAACAAAAATAGATTTATTCTTTATTTGTAATACTCTGTAATGTATGGAGGGAGCTCGTTTACTATTTAACAAAGTGTGTCCTTCTTAAAAGCATATTAATCAAATTAATAAAGAAACTAGAAATTCCTGAAAACAAAATAGGTTTGTGACCATCGGGAGGTATAGATTTGCTGAATTAGATACTTGACATAAGAAACGTTGCACATTACATGCGCAGGTCTTTGACAACAGTTTCCGGGCGAAAGAAATTTGGAAGAATTCACTCTAGCGTTCGTGCAGATGCAGCATTCTGTTTAACGTGATATATTAAGTCACCAACAGTATTTCTCCACCTGGGATGTATAATTCGTTGTCACCATCATTCAGCTTGCTTTTCGTACACAGCTGATACAAATTCCAATACTGAAAATGTTATTTATCGTTATGGCATAATATAGAGAAGAATGGTATTTTTTTGTTTACCTTTGCGGTATTTTTTAATTAAAAGGAATGCCTTTCTTCACGGCTCTGAAACGGAGGAGCCCCTCTGCCCCCCGCCGCGAGGGCCCGGCCCCAGGTACGAGGAATCCGCGTGCCCTCCCTCGCCGGACCCGTCAGGGGGGCAAGGCATCCCCCTCCCCCCCCCCCCCCCCCCCCCGAGCCGCGAGCGCTCTGGGCTTCCAGGTACTTCTGGCGACGTACTCTCCTGTTCGAAAGGCTAAGCCCGTCGCGGTAATGTACATCTACCACTAATAACCGTCCCGGTTGCTGAGGTCCTGTTGGCCAAGCGCAAAGAAATTGAAAAAGAAAAAGAACCGGTAGTCAACGGGCCTACACAGTATGTCTTAGTTCGGATATATATGGATGATGATGATGATGATGATGATGATAATAATAATAATAATAATAATAATAATAATAATAATAATCTCCATGGGGAGTGGAAAGTGACAATGCGAGTGAAGAGAGCTTCAATCCGTCGGTTGGAATGAGGAGGGGCGCCGCTGCCCCCCAGCGCACATGCAAGACGTCTCCAACAGCCCCCGGGGGCCCCTCTCGCGAGCGGACGGGCCGAGGAGATTGACATCAAGCACCCCCAGACTGGGACGGCGCATTAGAATCTACAACACACTCATTGTATGTCACAAAACAATTGTTAAGCCTCCCACGGCGAATCTGTACAACTTACTGTTCGAAACTGATGATACGAGAAATAGAACACTCTTAGCAAACAACTGCTGAATGGCGCTCGCCATATATTATGCAGGTAAAATACATATCAGTCCGTATTAATGGCCTACAGAAGTAAGTGAGCAAGTCGACTCTCCTATACTCTATAGATGGTGGACTAATACCGCGACATGAACTACCTTCACGTAGGTATCAACACTATAAAATGACACCACTCATCTTACTATAAGACCATCGGAGCAACAGATGCGACCGACTGATGGAAATTAAATGGAAATATTGACATGACGAAATTAAATGAATAAAACATGACGAAATTAAATCATGGGCATCATTGTCTTGACTCATCGAGTTCGTAATACTCATCAGCACATCAGCCAATCTGACAACACATTAAGTTGAGAAATTGTAATATGGGAAAGTTACTTCTTGGCATTCACCAATTCACGATTTTTTGGTAATGTTACAACTTTTTCAGTTATTTTGAAAATTTGCAAAGCAGTCATTTATTCAAATTCTACCCGTCACGAGAACACATTTTCACTAAATGAAGGAATGACCTTGAAAAGGGACGATTAAAAATCCCCCTTTGTACGAGGAAATCCGCTTTCCGCCGAGATCTGCCACGACGAGGCTGACTCTAACGCGATCAAAGTTATCCAACAGCTTTTCTCCAGCCTTTCCCGTCGTAGCTTCCTTCCTTCCGTTTTCCGAGCAAACGCGAAGGGCGCAGGTGGCAAAGGCTTCAACGTGGACTGAACGCGCTCTCAAAAGAGCTGCGAGGCGGGGACGGGCGCGTTCAGAAACGTCCACGAAAGCAACATCGCCGGCTCCAGAGAGCGAAAGGGGGTCAGCGGCGGCGGCGGCGCCGGAAAGGGGAAAGCGCCGGGCGCCGGGCGCCGCGACGCCGACGGGCCTTCCAACGATTCGCCGAGTCGTCGCGTCGGGCACTGCGTCCTGGGCGACGTGCGACGGGGCGCAGGGAGAGTGTCGGTGCTGTGCTGTAACGGTTAGCATATCGGGGTGTTGTACCCTGATTCGCGGATTCAGTCCCATGGAAGCCTCCATACGCCTTCCTTCGGAAGAGAAGTGAAGTGAAGTTGACTGTCGCATGTAGTAGATATACAGCAAGTAAATAAAGCCTCTGAGATAAATTCAAGTTTTTGTGCCTACGTAATACTTTCTTTCTTCGCTAAATGGTGGAAATGAATGAAGCCAAATTTGCGTGGTCGCACGGAAGTGCATACCTGATGACCGGAGTCTCGTCGCGTAAATTAAGCGATCTTTGAATAGAAATGATTTGAAGGGTTGGCGCTCCAATCGTTGATGGCGAGGGCTAATGTGTGACATGGCAACATATCTAGGTAGAGTTCAGCTGCTATCTGGAAGAGAATTCTAGCAGTCAGCTCTGATTAGTAGTTTTCCGAGGTTTCACTGATCAATACTTGGCGATTGCCGGAGTACCTTAAAAAGCTGTCTTTGGACAGGACGCAAACTTACCTTCCTCTCCCTTCACACACACACACACACACACACACACACACGTGTTTGTAGAGAGGACGCAAGCCGTGTGGGCCGGCGCCGACGATCACCCCCCATTGCCCTGCTCTCGTGGGGCTAATGAACAAAGCAGTTACGCGCCCAGTGACAGGAAACCCTCGCTCTCTGTGCAACGCGGACAGCGCGCTACCAAGCTGCAATAACGAAACGACTTCCACCTCGCAATGACGCGCTTCCATATTCAAAGACGCCAATTTCGCACACACTTGCGATTAACGGCATTCCATAGCCTTCTCCTATGGCAATTTCCGCATGACTGTTCTTTTCGCTTTTCAAGCAACTTGGGGTTAAAACAAACTATAAAAAAATTCGTAATAAATTTCAACTGTTCTTAACAGATGCAATACAGCATACATCTGATTAATAAATTGATTCATTAGAGAAGAGACAAGGGTTTCACCTTTGCGTTGAGCATTATGCGTTATTTTATGCATATTTAATGTACTACCTGATGCATACGGCCAAGAAAACTTTCCTTTTAAATGAATTCTCTGCGCATGTCAGTATGGCGTTTATTTGCAAGGCCCCTAAAGTAATGTCCACTGCGTTCGACATGTAAATATGATACTTTTATTTCCCCTTTTTTGCAAAGTTTCTGCCACTCAGAGCAGTCTTAGTGTCATACAAATATAAAGCCCACATAAATATTACTCACATATTTTATTGTATACTCTTGGTTTTAATTTTCATTCTAAAATAAATTACTCCACTATATGGGATTCGTTTCTTTATGTTAACTGTTATAATTTGCAACTACTGCGAAATGTGTTTCGTTGTTTTTAACATTACGGTCAGATAATTTCTTTCATCTGTTACATATTTTCAGAAAGAGGGAAGGAAGATGTAAACATATGCAGGAGAGCGGCAACGAATTCATGACTATGCACGAAAAACGCTATCAAGTGGAACGGGTCTTGTTCATACAATACAAAAAATTGATAAGCCGACTGTCAAACGAGTTTCCTATTCCCCTGGTTGCAGCGAAGTAACAATCTCCAAAGCAGCCGACGCGATGGAAATCAAACTACCTCCCCCGGGGCCAGGCATCAAAGCAATCGCTCTATCTACACGAATTGCTCGAAGGCAAAAAAGACAATTTATTGGACATACTTTAAAGCAATGACTCGCACGTTTCTTTGCGCAGGGATACAACACAAAAGATTGCTGGTCATATTGGAAGAATAGCAGTTTTTGTACTTTCGTAGAAACGTCATAATGCAGCTTGGATGTCAATGCCCTCTCGTGGAGGTGACTGAAGTTAGTCTCCGATACAAAGAGACTTGTGAGGGATAAGCTAGAAGATTATATTCACGACTTCAGCACTTCTCAACTTCGGATACGCAGTTCGGAACAATTTTACGGCTTATTGAGTAATAATCTTTAAGCGAGAGAAACAAGTACAGCTAAAATAATGCGATCAGAATTATCAGAATAATAGACCAACACGTGTGACCAACAACGCGCCTAGTGACTTCTATGAGTGGAAATATGGATTCATTTTTTAATCTAATCCCACACTCATTTTTTTAATTAAAATGTTTTTTCCGCATAGGAAATGTCTGTTTCGTAACAGAAAAACATGAATTTGCTTCTAAATCGAAAGACAGATATTTTGTTCTTGAAATAATTATTTTTTATTATTGTCAGAAGGCACTAAAAACAGATTTCAAGGAGTTAATTTTACAGTTCTTCACGTATCGATGGCTTAGTGTGCACGTATTGTAAGGAAAAAATCCTAGCTCGGGAGCTAATAAAGTTCCAATATGGAACAATAATGTTTGATTTCTGGAGGAAACCCGTCATCAAATTGTCCTTCGGTTCCGGAGATCTTTCGAACACTGGAAAAGAACTGCATGAGTATCAGAATGCTCCAGGCACACTGACCCATGGGAAATGGTAGAAGCCATCGAGGGAAGTTGTAGCTGGAGATGATTGTCGCGAAGGGAGGATAAAACACTCCACTTTTTTAGGAGACTCGAAACTGATGTATCTCTCCCTTACTTCCCCGTAAATATGACAGGAGAGGGGGTGAGAACGCATTTGGGGAAATGTTAACTTGGTTGTTTATCCTTCGTTTCTCTTCTTCTGGACTATTCGAATACATGGCAGAGTGAGTGAGAATATAGTGTTCCCGAGTGCGTCTACTTGGCTATTAGTCCCGTTAGTGTAGGTGCCGATCAGGTGCCGATGAAATGTGAGGTCGGGAGCAGGGGTCTGTGACCATCCTGCAGAATTTTTCGCTCCCTGAGCGGCACGAACTCTTAAGCACGCGACCGGCCTTCCGACATGTGTGCTAGTGTTGTGCATGGAAGTGTATGGAGGGGAGGGGTCGAAGACGAGGAAGAGAAGATCGCGTCTTTTTTTTAAGGTCGCTTTTTAACAACTTGGTCATATAGCGACCGCTGTGATTATTTTACCTCTAGAAAAACACGTAAGAACAACACGAAGAGACCCAACCAGCGCTACGGCCCTAGGGTTTTGGCGACCTGGGCTGCCCAGGCTATCGCGTCCTTCGATGCGAGGAAGGAGAGGCCCCGAGCCGCCGCTGGACCTCGAGGGGGGTGCGCGAGCAGGCGGGAGGGGGCGGCGGCGCGGGGGTGGGAGGCGCGGCGCGGCGCGCGACTGCGCGGCGCGGCCACCGTCCGGAGCCGGCGGCTGCGGCGTTGCAAGTCGCGCGCCGCGCGCAACTGGGCCGCCAGCGCGGCGCGGGGCGGCGGCGGACAACGGGGCGCTGTGCTGCGCGTGCCGGCCAGGCCCAGGCCCGCGCCCGGCCCGCGCTCGCGCTCGTGTCTCCCGGCCTGCAGTGGCGGGCGTGGGCGCGGGCGACCTTGGCGACGGTGGCGGGTCACCTCCCCCACTTCCCCTTTCACACGCGAACGCTCCGCCTTTTGCAGCAGCCCTTCACCCGTGCTTCTATTATTCTATAGTGGCCGATGACATTACATATCCCAAGGCAAAACTTTCCATGAACTAGGGATTTTGCTGACACTATTTGTAATTTGTCTTAGTTACCATGTTTCTGCCCACAACCCTTTAATTAATCATTTTTAATATCGACGACATTTCCATGACTGTTGGTGAACAATTTGTGCACAATAACCAATCGCTGATATGTATGGAAGCACAAAACGTTAGACAGAAAATATCAAAATTGAAGTGAAAAATATTAAAATATCATAAATTGATTTACTACAAAAAACTCGTCGTAACTGATAACGTAGAATTACAGCAAATTGTAGGAATTTGTTATTAAGGCAGAACAGCTGTTGAATCAGGATCATGATGTGAAAGAAAATGTAATACTGCCTCGTGAAATATTGATTTAGAAATGATTTATCGTAGGCTTCGTACGGGGAGATTTGAATGCAGTCATCTGCTCAAAGAAGACAAGGACGCGGTCCTCGCACTCTGTGAGTCTAATGTGAAGGGGGACCAGCAGACACAGACAAATCATACGTCTACAAACTACTTATACAGAGAATTAAAGTGACATAATGAAGGCGGGGCAATATTCTCTCCCCATCTACATTCAAAAGTCCGGGCATGAAACAATTCTCAACGCTTTTTAAAAAATGTATTTAATTAAAGTCGCATCAACACGCTACATGTAATGCATGTTGCATCTGCCGTTGCTCTGTGCCTTAAAATATAAGCTGCAGACTTCTATTTTTTCATCATGAATCAGTTAGATTCAGGATAGGATGGTAATTCTTTATCCAGCACTTGCGCACCCGTTAATGGTCCGAAGGTATCGATGATCCTTTCTTAGCGCATTATACTCGCCGCCTCTAAATAAATGATACAAACTTCTAGGACTGTACGGCCGCAGTAGATGATCACTTTGTGCCAATGAATTTTATGAGCTTGCTTATATGGCGAACTTTCATGTGTCATTCTTCCCTGTTGGTAGGCAACTAACTAATGATTTGTAGGGAGACGAAGATCCGTAACGAACATGCGCCGCCAAACACCAGTGCCGCCAAACACCATGCCAGAAATGACATTAAATATAATGGAGATGACTGTATTGCACATGGACCCGAATGCAATGTTGTACATTAAAAAGAGATTAATACATTTAATACACAAGTTAAAATCAGTGTAGATGTAATGTAGTGGTTTTCCAGTTTCCCCTGCTTCTCATCATTCATATCATTATATATTCGTAATCATCAGTCCATCAAGTTCATTCATTCATTCATTCATTCAAGATATGACCATAAAGCATTGACTCTTGCATCCTAATGTACATGTGTACATAAAATTTAATGTGCTTTAATAATTACTTTAATGTAATTTACATTAAAATAATTCGGAAATTTCTGACAGTCCACCACTCATGGGCGAACGCCACACGTGGGACTTCCGTTTGAAGAGGTCTTGGCACAGGGAAGTATTATCACACTTGGGGCAGCCGCCCGTCTTCCCCTGCTCTCGTGGGTTAGAATGGACGGAACCCTCCGGTTTACCAGATTTTTTTTTTGATTCACAGTTTTGCATTAATTTTTTTGTGCCGGTTCTAACCGGTTTTGTTTAAAAAGAACTTAAAACCCCGCGGGTCTAATATTTTTGAATTATTTATTTAATTTCAATCTCGTTGAATTGGTGACAGTGTTGTTTTTTTTTCATTTCACTTTCGTGCTTCCTCTGCGCGATTCCCACACTAAATGCAGTGACGTTGGACAACAAAAAGAGTAATCCTGTCATTTTGAATGTTTTTTTAGTGGCATGTTTAATCGAAGATGAAGAAAAAACGTAGAAACCGAAAACCTGTTATTTTTGCAATATCCTGAACGCGCGGCGGCAGCAGCAGGAGCGATGGCCACCTCGACACCCCCCCCCTCGACCCCTCCCCGACGCACAGCGCCTCCGTCAAAAAGGGCGACGGGTGCTTTCATGTTCGGTGGCTAAAAATTAAAATCACGAAAATCACATAATAACTTTGGTGCAGGACGCATTACAAGGAAAAGATGAATGTACGCAATGGCGTAGAAATGGTCTGGCTTTTCTTAAGGCTGACTCATGTACGATTAGATGCAACACCTGTGCTGGAGTGTGAAGAGTTAAGAATCTGACCTCTCCCCTGATAATTTACCAATGTTTTTTTTTCAATGTTAGCTAGCAGTCGCGATTAATTTGGATTTGAAAGAAGACTAATCCCACACGTCAAAATGTTGGCGCTCACACTCTCCTCTTTCAAATCGAACAAAAATTAAATAGGCGTATCATTAAATCGTCAGGTGAGCTCGTAACTTCACATCAGCAGGTCAATTCTAATTTTAAAGATAGGATACGAGAGACTTCATTTTTCAAACAAACATCACATTAACTCCAAGTTCAGAATACCAAATTAAAATATGATAATACTGTCGGAAACTGCTGGTTGCAGAACATGTGGCTTTTGGGAGTGGATACTTTCCTGCTGATGTGCTAACGGATTGAACAAAGGTCTCGCGAACCGCGAGTGAAGCTGCGATGTCGGCTCTCCGTCAACAGGCAGGAAGGCGGGGGCGGGGGCGTCGGGGCTTGCGCAGTGACCTTCGGCGCTCCGTGCGCATGCACTTACGCGATAAGGAGCGCGGGAGGGCCTCTGTTTACTCCGTGTTCTAGGAGCAATCAACCGGGTTGAAACGTGCCATTAGGTAGAACGGCGACGAATTGTTTCCGGCGGGCGAGTAACCTTCACGGTTCTTTAAATTAAATTCAATTAAATTCGGTTCATAGCCAGGTTTTGTGTTCAGATAATTCATACAGAAATTCTTATTTGCGTATTATTAATTTTTTTTAAAAATGCAATAGTAAAAAGTATTAATCTCAAATAGTTTGAGAGATTAAAATAGAGACTATTACTGAATAGGAGCCCTAAATAGCAGCCGGACGAGTGGAGACGGGAAAGGCGGGGGAGGAGGAGGAGGGGGCGGACCGTGGGGAGGCGGGGCAAGACGAGATGGGGCGAGCGCCGGTCGCGATGAGGTGAGTAAGGCGACGCCGTTGCCACAGCGACAGCCGCAGCCAGCCGCAGCCAGCCTCCGCCAGACCAGGAAGCG